ACAATTCCCTTCAAAGAAGGGACCTGTTGAGGAAATAAACTTACCTGACTCCAGAGGAGCTCCATACTAGCTGCCTATTTTAGTTAACACCTTTTTTCTCTCGTAAAAATGAATGGACAAAAAGAATAATGAAAAACAACTATAGGAAAATAAAAGTGAAGAATTTAATAAACAAAGAGAATGATTTGCTCAATGAGATTCTAAAATTCTTCAAGTTACAGCAAAGATCTTTAATTTTTAAAAATGTATATTCTTGGAGAGGTACTAGAAGATTACATCTATAAAACAAGAACAGGTTGCTATGAAAAAGGAGCAATCCACAAACATAAAAGTTTTTGAAAATAATTGCTTAACTTTTCAAAAATTCAATGGAGATGTTGAATAATGGAATAGACAGAGGGCTTGCACTGAGCTATATCTCCAGTGCTGCTGGTTTTTTGTTTGTTTATTTATTTATTTTTTGAGACAATGTCTCACCATATAGGTCAGGCTGGCCTTCAACTCATTATATAGCCCAAAGTGGCCTCAAACTCAAAGTGATCCTCCTGCATCAGCTTCTGAGTGTTGGGATTACACACATGTACCACCACTCTGGCATCTAGTCCTTCTCTTTGTTTATTTTTTGACACAGAGTCTTGCTAAGCTGTCCAGAATGACTTTGACTTTCCATCCTTTGCCTCAGTTCCCTTAGTAGTTTAGGTTACAGGTGGGCACCACTATAGCCAGGTAATGAATCATCTTTTTTTTTGTCTTTTTCGTTTTTTTATCGGTACCAGGGATCGAACTCACGACTGCCTGCTTGCAAGGCAGGATGTTATGCCGCTGAGCTAAATCCCCAGCCCCAATGAGTCATCTTTTAATGTAAAAAAAGTTAGTGGAATTCCAAAAAGGAGAACAAAAATACATAGAACACTTGAAAAAAAGACACAGAACATATGAAGGCATAGAAGAGGGGAACAGGAGGTCCAACATCCATCAGGATTTTCAGAAAGACACAACAGAGACTGGAGGAGAAAAATAATAATTTAAGAAGCTTCACATTGTATAGCATAAATATATATAATTATTATTTGTCAATTAAAATTAAGTTAAAAATAGTTAAAGAAGCAGAAGCAGTTAGTATTTCATGAGCTTCAAAAAAGAATATTTAGACTGAGAGAGCTCAGCAAGTCCCAAGCTGGAGAAATGAGCTCATACATGAAGAAGCAGGGTGAGGAGAAGTGGATGAGTTTGCTTTGAAAGTGCCTTTGGGGGAGCAAGAGAGAAATTCTGCCTGGCATTTGAATGTATGAAACTGGAACCCTGCATAATGCTCAGAGCTGGAGAGGGGCTTGAAAATCATTGCAGGACCTTTGAAGAGGGAAGAAGAGAGCCACGGAGGGGACTAGAAAGGAGAGGGCAGGGGAGGGACCCAGAAGGATGCATAAAGCAGATGGAACCGGTCTGCACTGCCATGGAGCTGTCTCAGCTGTCTTCAAGGGAGAATCAAACTACCCTCTTCTCCATTCTCTGCTGTTGTGGAGTCCCGTGGGCCAGACTGGCTTTTCCCTCAAGGCATCATCCACCTGCCTGGGGAATGGGATTTTGGCTGACAAGGGTGAAAATTGCTGGGAGGACAGGGATGGTGGCTGCACTCCTCAGATTAGTCCATTTTCAGGTGGAAATCAAATCTTTGTTCTTGCTGAAACAACCTGTCTCTCAACTGGAGCAGCTCATTCTGAACTACTTAGAAGCAAACAGTGCGTCTAATGGTAGGAGATGACACACCTAATGGTGAGGTAGAGCAGTGGGTTGTTCAGTTTGCTTGGGGAGAGGGGAGTGAGGATGGCAGTTATGGGGGGCAGTGAAAAAGAGAGTAAGAGAGGCTGTGGAGAAAAGAGGACTTGATACAAAGGGCAGGGATGAGATCCAGCCCTTACTGTCCCTCAGCTTGAGCCTGCCCCAAATAGAACGCCACCTGAACCTGGGAGAGGAGAGGAGGAGGACTGGAGAATGCAGAAGGCTTTGAGAACTGGGTGTTTCTTCTCCCCCAAGTGAAGACTCTGTCTTCTGTGTCTTTCTCCCTGGAGTGGTACTTGGGAGCTAGGAGTCCCTCTAAGACCCAGAGATGAACTGGTTTTTGGACTTGAAAATAATTAATAATGTCCACATCTCCAGATATTCTCTGCCTCTGATATTTTGAGTGTCTTACAGGGGAAGAGATATGCTTGTGTGTGTTTCAATATTTCAAATACTCTCTTACACATACACACACTTATGTTCTCTCTCTCTCTCTCTCTCTCTTTCTCTCTCTCTCTCTCTCTCTCTCACACACACACACACACACACACACACACACTCACACAATTTCTTAATGACCATGTTGCATTTGTTCTTCCCTGTCCTGAGCTTCCCTGCCTCTTGACCTAAATAAGCAAGAATACTTCCTCTTTTCTTTAGGGTCTTTCAGAGGGGCCTGAGTAGGAACTGCAGAAAGGGAGAGGGTAGAAAGGGAACTTCCAATGAGTGGTAGTTTCTCCTGGTTGGGAGAAGAGCCTGATGGGATCTGCCTGGGTGAGCAGGATGCCCTGAACCCTGAAAATTTGGGGGTGCAGTAGACATCCAAAGAGCTGTAGATAGAGTGTATTGTTCTCAGCCCAGCAGCAGGCCAGCTGCTCCATAGACCAGTTCAGCAGGAAATAAAACCCCATCTACGCTGGCTGCTGCCATGCCCTCACTGTGTTGTGAGGTTAGTGACTGTCCATTAACTCCTGAGAGCTGATTCAACAGCTGGGAACCAGAAAGCGCTGACATGGGGAAGGGGGGCTGGTCCCCCACCCTGGCTGGGGACTTACAGAGTAAGTCAGGGAGGTCACTGGCATGGCTTACTCAGCTCTGCCCGAGTACCAATTAGCTAAGGTTTTTCTGAGCAGTGGCCAGGCCTGCCACAGTTGAGAGAAATTACTGCCAGAGGAACTCATTTTTTTTTTTTTTTAAATAAAAAGAGAAACCTCTCTACAGGGATGGATCTTTCCTGACTGTCCTTCCAGTCTCCATGAGGTAGACACCAGGGTCCCTGGGAAGAGATGACCAAGGATAGAGTCCCTGGCCAGTGGCTACTCACAAGGTTTATTGGTGGCAGAGATTGATTCCTGGCTTCTTGGTTTGAAGGCAGGGATCCTATCAGCTCAGCTACTCTATACGTGTGTGACTTTCTCAGGAAAAATGGAAGAGAGGATTCCTAAGAAAATACCAGTGACATAAATGACTTTTCTTGGTTCCTATTGTTCCTTTCCACTCCATTCATAAAATACAGCTCATCACTGAAAGGCTACTAACTTACTCTTCCAGCCAGGTGAAGTCCTGAACTCCCAGAGAACTGGGTTCAGGACAACCTCAGAGAGCCCCACAGAACCTCAGTGACTGGAATCTTAACACTCATCTGGTCCAATTCTTTTCTTTTACAGATGAGAAGACTGAAGCCTGCAGAAGGGAAGCGGCCTGCCTGAAGCAGCCAGAGGCAGATCCAGGGACAGAACACTGGGCTCCTGATTTCCAGTCAAATGCTTTTATTTTGATACATTTTCACATTTCATAGCCTTATTTTACACCCAATTACTGAGTCCTTACTATCTTCCAGGTGCTATGGGGGAAGGGTGTGGAGGGAAGCAAAGAGATGAAAACAACACAATCCTGCCTTCAAGGAGCTATTTCCCTAGATCTATAATTCTTGGGGGGTGAGTCAGACACTCACTCTATATTATCTTCTATAGGTGATGATGGAGGAGGAGAAGGGGGAGAGGAAACTCTTTTATCTGCTCAAGAATTAGAATTTAAGCTTCACTGATTTTAGGAGCTCAGGGAAGCCAAGGACAAAGCGAGCCTTGGATGAAGGGAGAGGGTAGGGATGACAGTGACGGGGTCACTGCCAGCAGGCCTTGGCTAGGGGATGAGAACAGGGATGCGGCCACACTGGTATGGAGACACAGTTGGCAGGCCTGGACCTCTGATCAGGTGCACTGCTTCTTTGAGTCCCTGTGCAGTTCCCTGAGGTGAGAAGAACCTCAGAGTTTGCATCCCCAAGTTGAGTGAGGGTTAGAGAGGCTGGGTCATGGGCCCAGCCAGGGACTCTAGTCTACAGCTCTTTCTGTCACTAGAAAGGGTGGGGAAGGTGCGTTGGGTCGGAGGGTAGGGATGAAGGACTGTAAAGCAATGGCTGTCCACAGTGATAAGCCACGTCTTCTTCTACATAGTTTTATTTTGATCGCTATATTCTGCCACTCACAGAACTCTGCTTTGAAGAACTGGAAGCACTTTGCAGCCCTGAATGAGCTCATTCAACAAACTCTTGCCAGAAAGCAAGAGAACTCCAAATGGAGGCTCAGTCTAGGGTCATCCGCATTCTAGCACAGAATAAAAGGCAGGACTCAAGTTTCCCCTTCTTTGTCCTCATGAACCAAGGACACACGATGCAAAACTGGCCTCCTTCCATGGGAGTCAAGAGGGCCACAGGAAAAAACTGGTTCTTCTGACAGCTCCCTTCCTCCCCTGGAAATGGGTTTATCAGTTCTGAGAGGATGGGCCCTTTTGTTGGCCCAACGGCCACTGGTGGGGCAGAGAGATGTCAGAGGAGCGGGTGATCACAGCCACTTCAGCCACCCTGGTGACCAGGCTTGAGGAGAGGGGAGCTTAGTGAAGCCCGCTCGGATTCTGCTAATGCCGCAGAACCTTGGTGAGGACTAGGGTCCCAGGGAGTCTGGGAGACTCTCATCCGTGTTCCTGCAACCAGTGGGCAGGCTGTCCCAGGGCTGCCCGAGGTTGGCTTCCAGGCCTGGTGGTGTGAGGTCAGGGTGCCCGGGTGACTGTCACGGATCTGGTCCCCCAGGCCCCTCCTAGTGTCCCCAGACTTCGTGGTGAGTGAGGAAGAGCACAAGGGGCGGCCGGCCAGGAGTCAGAGTCCCGTCCCCGAAGGGGCTCCCGGTCCCCTCCCGGCTCTGCGCGCCCCCCGGACGGCCCCTTACCTGTCCCGCCGCGGACGGTCCCGCCTCCTCCGCGGGGCTCGGGGACCGGCATGGGCGGCCGCGCTGGCGCTCCCCGAGGGCTGCTGGCTGCCGGCCCCGCGTCCCCGCCGCCGCCGCCGCCGTTCAGCACCGCGGACAGCGCCCGCCGGCCGCCCGCCGGCCGCCCCGCCCCGCGCGGTCCCCGGAGCCCCGCATCCCGGCTGGGCCCCGGCTGGCCCGCGCGGCCCGCGCCGACCTGGGGAGCAGCAGAGGGGCGCGCGTGCCCTCCCGCCGCCGCCGCCGCCTCCCTCCGCCTCCGAGCTCCGAGCTCCGTGCTCCCTGCCACGCTCCGAGCCGGCCCCCGGGCACCCCGGACCGGCTCCGGGAGGGCGGGGCGGCGGGCGGGGCGGGAGCGGCGGGCCCGGAGGGGGCAGCGCAGGAGCGGGGTGCGCGGCGGGGCTCTCCGCCGGAGCCGGCCCTCGCCTCAGCCCCTCTCCTGCCTGCCTCCGCGCATCCCCCAAGAGATGGGCGGCCCTTAGGCTTCTGGAAGCGCGCTGGAGCTCCTGGCTCCTAAACCCTGAGTTATCATATTGATCTGCCCCAGAAAAAGCGAAACAAACAGGAAGTATTTATTGAGTGTCTACTATGTACGATAACACCGTGCCAGGTTATCTTATAAATCAACACGATCTCATTTAATTTTCTACACAACTCTAGGAGGCAGCCCCCCACCATCTTTTTTTTTTTCTTTTTTTAACAGATGAGGATTCTCAGCTCATGGAGATTAAATCTCTGATTTGGGGATAACAGTACTGTGCTGGAAAGTATGCAGGCTTTAAAGGCCATGGGCCCAAATTCGAGGGCAGTGTCCCATTTACTTACTTAAGCAAGTTATCTAACCTTCTAAAATCTTGGGCTTCTCCTAGGCAAAATAGGGGAACAGTATCCATCTATGAGGGGTCATATGAGGACACGATAGACACTAGTACCCAACAGGCCCGAGTGGGGTGACTCACTGGCTCACTTCTCACAGTGGGAGACTGGAAATCTGACCGCGGGTCTTCCTGGGCTGCCCTGTCTCCCACACTGCTCCTCTTTCTCTCCACTCCTCCCCCACCCTCATTTTCCTTTGTGGTTGGCAGGGGAATCCCCATCTGAAGTGCTGCTGAAGCTACTCTCTCCACCCCCACAAGGCAGGATCCGGATGCAGGAGGGAGAGCAGTGTCATCTTCTGAAGTTAAGGAGGAGCCTACAGGTGGACTCCAGAATAGACTACCACAGGGGCTGGGACTGCCAGGTGCTGGGAATCGGTTGTGGCAGTGGGACTCCTTCCTTCCCCCACCCTACCCCATCCAAAGGCATCATGGCACACTGAGTGCTGGGCTGCACAGAACATCAGAGTGGTTCCTTCAGCTCCAGCATGCAGAGGAGAAGCCAGGAACTCCCCCTTCCATCATGAGAGGCTCCCCTCCAGGTGGGCAGGGGACCCCTCTCCCCATGTCTGTCTCGGGGCTGGCCTTGGTGTTTAACCTGTTGGGTGTGGAATACATGCTTGCTCTTCCTGCCCTTGCCCCGCTAGAGTGGCAGCCCCTTGAGGCCAGGAAGTCTCTTAGACCACACAGCATCTACACACATCCCTTTGCTTCCCTTCTGTCTGCAGGCCCCTCTGCACCCTTGCTTTCTTCCAGCCTCCTCACACAGGGGGCTCATGACCTTGGCCTCCCTCCATTTCTCTGCTCCCTACCCTGGCTTTGTTCTATGCCCAGGCTGCTTACTGAATTACTAATTGAAAAGATAATAAAAAAGCCAATGAAGCAAAAGCCGCACATATATTCCAAATACTCATGTTGATAATTATATGCTGCTGCCCAGAGAAGCTCAAAGTGCAAAGGCCCTGGCCTGGGTGCCAGGAAACCTGAGCGCTGGTCCTGTCTTTGTGCCTGATTGTGCAACCAAAACTGTCATTGATACCTTCTTGGACCTTTGCTTCCTTGAATTCAAAGCCCTTTCAATCTCTTTAAAGACACTGTAGGAATAGTGAGCAGCATATGAAATTTATTACAGAGAACAGTGGACTAACTCAGGGATGGGAGCTTCTTTTAAGGAAAGTACATTTCATCCCTCACCAGGTATACTTGGTGGTTCAGGGACTGAGGAATCTATAATTATGCAAGTTCCCACTCCACTTTCCACTCCCTCTCTTTATCTCTTCTTTCCTTTCTTCATTATGTATTATCTGCCATGTAAGGAAGGTCAGCTTCTGTGGTAGCTCCTGCAGATACAAAGTATAAACCCACATCCAGGTCTTTGAGGAAGCTACACTGAAGGATTTGGGGTAGACACGTTGGCCAGTAATTCTGGCACATGAGATAAACGCTGTCATGGAGTTTGCATGATGCTTTGCCTTGAAAAATCCCAGCAGACTTCCTGGAGGAGTTGGCATTTGGACTGAGTTTTAAAGGATGAGACATCCGAGAGGCAGGCCAGGAGAAGAGGGGCTTCTGGCTAGGATGACTGACTGAAGAGGGGAGGCTGGAAGACACATGAGGAAGCTACAGCAGAGTCCAGGACAGTGTGGTGACAATTTGAGCAAGGCCAAGTCAGAAAGAGAGGGGCAGGTGATGAGGTTGAGACAGAGAGGAGAGATTAACTGTGGGAGGGGTGGACAGGTGTCAAGTGGTGCTGGGGTCTCTTGTTTCTGGGAAGTTCATCCTTTCTCTGTCTCTGTCTCTGTCTCTGTCTCTGTCTCTGTCTCTGTCTCAATTTTATACCAGGAATTGAACTCATGACCTCATGCTTGCCAGGCAGGCACTATGCCTCTGAGCTTTATCCCTGGCAGATTTGTCCTGGCAGAGGGGATCAGGAGGGGATCAAATGGTGCAAACCCTGGGGGCTGCTGCTGAATGCCACACCCTATAGAGTGGCCAGGCTTTTGTACTTTCTTTTAACATTTTATATTGGGCACAGTGGTGCACTCCTGTAACCCCAGCACCCCGGAAGTGAGGCAGGAAGATTGCTGTGAGATTGAGGCCAGCCTGAGCTACACAAGTGAGTTCAAGGCCAGCCTGCATGACATAGGGAGACCCTGTCTCAAAGGGATGAGAGAGAAAAAAAAAGGAAAGCAAAGAAAAAAGTCATTTATTCTCCCTTTAGTGAAGGTGAGAGGGTTGCTGGAGGTCTTTAAAGCCCCTCCTGTCTCGTCTTGATTGACTCCCTGGAAAGGGACATGTCCCAGCTTGGCTCAGGAGAGCTCATGGAGACAGAGCAGCTCCAGAGCCCACCTAGAGGGGGCAGCAGGTTTCTTGCTGGGAACCGAGCAAGGTTTAGAGATAAGGACAGAGTGGGCACTGGGTACGCATCTGGAAAGAGATGCCCATGTCCTGTTTCCCTTCCAGCTCTCCCACAGTCCCCAAGCAAAGTGCAGCGTTGGTGCGTGATGCCTTGGTTGGAGTCAGCTTGGGCTGCTAATCTCTTTCCACCTGGGGACTTCCTTTCATAAGCTTTTTCATGCATAAACTCTTAGTTCTTTTTACAAGGGGTTGATTTCTTCACAGTGTTCCCTGGGGAATGTAAATCAGCACCAAATATAGGGAGATCTGCTTCGGTTGCTGCTTTAATAGGCCACACATGGAAAGAGATGATCCCCATAAGGGGGAAGGTGAGCCCTGCCCCAGTCCAGTGAGCCCAGCTAAGTCAAGTTCATGAGCCAGGCTACATGGCTATGACCTACACTATCCTGGGTGAGGGAGGAGAATCCTGGCATAGGACAGGCTTTGAGCTGCCTATTAACCAAATCCCATACGTGGCTCCAGAATGTCACAACCCCACGGAGGACTGAGTGCATTTGTGGGTCTAAGAAAGTAATGGGGACCAATTCTTGACTCTGTACCCAAAAGAGAGACCTGAAAATCCTCCTGGCTTCTGAGTCATGACCTCTGGTTGGAGCTGGACCTCGTGCCCTGCAGTAGTATTCCTAGTCTGTCTTTTACATTTCTCCTTTGGCATGGTGCTTTGGAAATACGTTACCAGCTGCTCACTTCCTCTCTCCATGGGAGACTGCAAAGCTGAAGATGAGCTTTAGAAACACACTGATTCATTCCAGGGAAAGATGAGAAGAGGTCTCAGCACCAGTTCTGCCCAACTCTCTGCTCTCCTGCCAGGCACATGCTTACTCAAGCCTGGGGAAGGGAGTGGGTGAGTTATTTCAATTCTGAGAGGCAGGGCCGGAGCATAAGGCAGAGGAACAGAGCAACCCCAGACTGCACAGCTCAGAGCTCCAGCACCGACTCTGGCTTCCACAGGCTGCCTCAGGGCCATGCGAGCATTTGCTCACTGGTAGAGAACCCTGCACGGTTGGCACTCTCCCACTTTGGCAGAGCAGAGATGTGTGAGTGTGCCTGTGTGAGGCTGTGGGGTGCTGGGTGAGGAAGATCAGCAGTGGCAAGCAGGCAGAAGGGTTCTGTCACCTGATGCAGTGACAGAATAACAATGCTTTTTATTTGCCTCTCATTCTGCATTTGTGGGAGCACCTGCTCATTTGATTTTCACAGACATGCATCATCCCCAGTTTACAAACAAGTCCTGAAGAAGCTACTTTCAACTTGGAAAAAAAATAATCAGAGATTAACTTCAAGTCAAAGGAAAGGAAATGAAATAGATGCATGATTCCATGCGCTCCCTGCCCTTGAAGTCGGAACTTGCTAGGTCTGCAAAAGGAAGCCCTCTTTGTTTTCACCTTGAACTAGGACATTGAAGAGAGGGGCCCAAAGTTCTACAAGGCGTTCAGTGTAACCCTCTGGACTAAGACTCAGAACCTAGGACCACGCCATGTGCGTGCATGCGTGTATGTGTGTGTGTGGGGGGGGGGGCTTTGATCCGATGCAGTGGTAACTTTCTGAGCTAGGAAAAACTTTCTCCTTCTGTGTGCAGCAAAACACTTTCCTTATTCCTCCCTGCAGCTGGAGTCTCTCTGATGTGCAGATGAGCGAAGTGGTCCTTCTCTCCTGCCCACTTGCTGATTTGGGGAGACAGGCAGCTGGAAGACAAAAGAGTAATTGACACTTAAAAATAAAGATTCCTAGAGAAGCTGGGGAAACTTCTCATTCTCTTCAGCTGAGGAACAGGAAGAAGAGAGTCCATCCAGAGAGCCCACTAGGTGTCAGA